GCTGTAGTTTCGCCGCTAGCTCTGCTCTGGTTTTGATTTTGATTCCTTGTGTTCCCAAAAAGATTTATTTCTTTTGTTTTATATTATACTATAGTGCATAAAGAAGAAGAAAAAAGAAATTGATTTCCTTTTTGCTCTTGATGCTTTCTTTGAGCCTTTCTCTTAGTAGTAGTTTTTTTTTTTGTGTGTGTAGCTGTTGTACACATTTAACATCCCATAGTGAATGATTCAGATTCACATCTCTTTTCTTTTTATTCCTTCCTCTGCATTATAAATACACATTTCCCCTCCCTTACCTTCTCTTCTATTCTCCATCATTGTGTGCTTTGACATTTTGATAAACTCTCTTACTAAATCACAACAAAAGTCTTCAAATCGTTGTGAGAACAACAATGAGTTATTCTCATCAAAGCATGGGTTCCGGTTTGTTTCTACTTCTTGTTACTTTGTGCTTGTAACTTTGTTATGTCATTACTCTGTTTAATATGTGTTTCTTGGTGAAATCTTTGTAGGTAGTAGAAGTGCAAGGGGTTATGAGTTTGGTAGGACTTACGTTGTGAGGCCTAAAGGAAAACACCAAGCTACTATTGTTTGGTTGCACGGTCTTGGAGACAATGGCTCTAGGTAATATAATACTCCCTCACTTGGTTTGTTTTTATGATCAATGCCCATTTCTTGAGGCAAGTTATAAAGAAAGTAAACTCATGCTTGTCAAAACAAAATGTTCTTGAGACATTTAAGTTTACATGTTTTCCCTATTAGGTGCACAATTTAAAGTATAAATGTGTCATGAAAAGCTTTTACTTTTTTGGTTTAATTGACTAAAAGCAAATAAAGGAGCTTTGGAAAGTCGAATTTTGGCATGTTCTCTGAAAAAATGAAGTTCTCACTTTGTCTCTCTTCTCTATACAGCTCATCTCAGCTCTTGGAGAGCCTGCCTCTTCCAAACGTAAGGATCCATGAAAACAACCACTTGGAAGTAATTTCATTGAAGGTCTCTAATTCTGATAAAAAGATATTATGCTATGCACAGATAAAATGGATTTGCCCAACTGCTCCTTCGCGTCCTGTTTCGCTTCTCGGTGGATTCCCTTGCACTGCTTGTAAGATCACTCAGCTTCTAGGCTCCTCTAAACTTCATGAAAACATAATAGAACAATTAAAATTAACCTCTTTTGCTTCTCAGGGTTCGACGTTGGAGAAATATCTGAGGATCTTCATGATGATATTGAAGGCTTAGATGCTTCAGCTGCACATATTGCCAACCTCTTATCAACAGAACCAACTGATGGTAAGCCAGCCAAGAGTTCTATATATCTTCATACCTCTACGACACTATCACAATCTCTAGCTTAACATGAAAATGTTCTTTGTGGTTTGTGTCAGTCAAAGTTGGGATTGGAGGTTTCAGTATGGGTGCAGCAATAGCTCTTTACTCCACGACTTGCTACGCTCTTGGACGTTATGGAAACGGACATCCTTATACCATAAACCTTCGAGCTACTGTTGGACTCAGTGGTTGGCTTCCTGGTTGGAGGTATTTAATATATCTTCTTCAACCCCTTCATGTCACTAGTTTACACAGAGACTAAACTATTGGAAGCTTAAACATAACAATGCAGGAGCTTAAGGAGCAAAATAGAATGTTCGAATGAAGCTTCAAGACGCGCTGCATCGATGCCAGTCATACTTGCACATGGACTATGTATGTGTAACAGATCATTCTGTATTTTCAAGTTTTGATTTACTCTTTCAAGATAGAATCTGATTTTCTTTTTGATATGTTTCTTCGGTTGCAGCGGATGATGTAGTTCCTTATAATTTTGGAGAAAAATCTGCTCATGCACTTGCCACGGCTGGATTCCGACAAGTTATGTTCAAACCATATGAAGGGTAAATGTTTTAACTTATAAACCAAAGTTATCAGACTAGTTTGCTTTACTGTTTTGGTCTGAGATATGTGAGGTTAATGTCACTTGTGTAGGCTTGGTCACTACACAGTACCTAAAGAAATGGAAGAGGTTGTTCACTGGCTCGCTTCAAGGCTTGGTCTCGAGGGCTCTCGTTAAACTCCATAAGCAAGCATCTATAGCTATATAATACATGGTGTAGAATA